GTCGGAGTTGTCTTGCAGGTGGGAACTGGAACCTGTTTGGAAAAGGTTGTTGCTGCAGTTCGGCATGCCAGGAAAAAACACGGCAGGTAAATCTTTAAACTGGGTGAAGGTACGGGACTTTGCTCCCTCCCTCCACCTGCTGTGCTCTGGAAGCACCATTGTTGTTGTTGTTGTTCAGTCGCACAGTCGAGTCCGACTCTTCGCGACCCCATGGACCAGATGACGCCAGGCCTTCCGGTCTTCCGCCGTCCTCTGAAGTTGGCTCAATTTCATGTTCGTTGCATCAATGACACTGTCTAACCATCTCATCCTTTGCCGTCCCCGTCTTCTTTGACCTTCAGTCTTTCCCAGAATCAGGGTCTTCTTCTCCAGGGAGTGCTCCCTTCTCATTGGGTGGCCAAAGTATTTGAGCTTCAGTTTCATTATCTGGCCTTCCAGGGAACAGTCAGGGTTGATTTCTTTGAGGATTGACTGATTTGTTCTTCTTGCAGTCCAAGGGACTCTCAAGAGTCTTCTCCAGCACCATAGTTCAAAAGAATCTATTCTTCAGTGCTTGGCCTTCCTTATAGTCCAACTCTCGCAGCCATACATGACTACTGGGAATACCATTGCTTTGACCATGTGGACTTTTGTTGGCAGGGTGATGTCTCTACTTTTTATCATGCTGTTTAGGTTCGCCATCGCTTTCCTCCCAAGGAGCAGGCGTCTTTTAATTTCATGGCTGCAGTCACAGTCTGTGGTGATCTGGGATCCCAGGAACGTGAAGTCTGTCACTACTTCCACGACTTCCCCTTCTATTTGCCAAGGAGTGATGGGGCCGGATGCCATGATCTTAGTTTTTTTGATGTTGAGCTTCAAGCCCACTTTTGCGCTCTCCTCTTTTACCCTGAGCAAGAGGCTCTTTAGGTCCTCTTCACTTTCTGACATCAGAGTGGTATCGTCTGCATATCTGAGGTTGTTGATCTTTTCCCCAGCAATCTTAATTCCCACTTGTGATTCATCTAGGCCAGCACCATTGCACCGGGATAAATAATACGATGCAACTGAGGCCCCACAGTTTGCATGGGAGTGTTCCGTCTTTGGGGAAGGGCATTTGCTTGGCTTGCAGAAGGTCCCAGGTTCAGTCCAAGGCCTCTCCAGTTGAAAGGACCGGGCAGGAGGTGACGTGGAAGACCTCTGCCTGAAACCCTGGAGAGCCACTGCCAGTCTGAGTAGACAAGACTGACCACGGTGAACTGAGAATACGACTCACTAGAAGGTAGCTTCAAGAGTTAATGTCTTGTGCCAGGGAGGGACTGTGGCTCAGTGGTAGAACATCTGCTTTGCATGCAAAAGATCTCAGGGTCAGTCCCCGCCGGCATCTCCAGTAAAAAGGACCAGGCAGGAGGTGATGGGGAAAACCTCCGCCTGAGATTCAGGAGAGCCACTGCCAGTCTGAGTAGGCAGTACAGACTTTGATGGGCCGAGGGTCTAATTCAGTATCAGGCAGCTTCATGTGTTCCTGTGCTGTTTGGGGGTGGTCACAGCTCAGTGGAAGAGCCTCTTCTCGGCATGCAGAAGATCTCCGGTTCAATCCCTGGCATCTCCAGTGAAAAGGACCAGGCAGGAGGTGATGGGAAAGACCTCCGCCTGAGACCCTGGAGAGCTGTAAGGAGGGGCCGTGGCTCAGTGGCAGGGTTAGGGTTAGGGTAGGAGCGGCTGCATTGCATGGGCCTCTTCTCGGCATGCAGAAGATCTCCGGTTCAATCCCTGGCGGCATCTCCATTTAAAGGAACGAGGAAGTAGGTGATGGTAAAGACCTCCGTCTGAGACCCTGGAGAGCCGCTGCCTGTCTGAGTACACAAGACTGCCCTGGATGGGGCCACGTGTTTGGATATCCGAGGGGTAGCCCTCCTAGGTCTGCTGCTCCCCGAAGGAACAGAGTCTCCTGGCGTGTCTTATGGCACTTGCTAATCTTTAGGGTACCACAACAGCTTCCCTGGCTTGTTTTGTACTTCTTTTTGCTTCCGAAAGGGGCTGGCCAGTGAGTGCAGAAGTGAGCAGAGTGACTCAGGAAAGCGCCTCCTCCCCTCTCCCAAATCTGGCTAGTCTTTCAGGGGCTCCCGGACTTTGGCTCTTTTTTGCTGCCACAGACGAAAAGGGCCATGCCCATCTCGACCTACCCTTGATCTACATCCAAAGGGGCAGGCCAGTGAGTGCAGAAGTGAGCAGCGGGACTCAGGAAAGCGCCTCCTCCTCCCCTGTCCCAAATCTGGCTAGTCTTTCAGGTGCTCCTGGACTCTGGCTCTTTTCTGCTGCTGCCACAGACGAAAAGGGCCATGCCCATCTCGACCTACCCTTGATCTACATCTACATCTGTCAGATATCTGAAGAAGAGAGCAGTGACTCCTGCAAGGGACTCCCCTGCTCCAGATCTGGCTAGCCTCGACGGTGCTCCTGGACTCTTTTCCATCCACGGCCACGGACGGACCCCCGGGGCCACCCATCTCGAGCTGTCTCGGGCAGGCGAGGGGCAGCCTGGCCCCGGCTCCGGCTCCCCTGAACTCCAGCCCGCGTCTTCCCAGAGACCGACTGAGCCCGACGTCGAGCGGGGAGGCGCCGGCCCCGGCATTCCAGCCCGGCGCTTCCCCAATCGGAGCCCGCGGGGTGGGCCGGCCTCTGGCCGAGTGAAGGGGCCGCGGGCCAATCGGGGTCCCGCAAACGCCCTGGGCGGGGCGTGCAGCCGGGAGCCCGGCCCCGCGCCGCTTGCAGCCCAGGTGGGGACCGGCGGCACCTTTGCCCGGCCAGGTGAGGCTGGGGGGCGGCCAAGGCGCGGCCCTGGAGGGGCCTCTCGCGGAGGATGCTGGGTGGAGGGGCAGGCGGGGCTGTTGCGCGCCATCCTAGAGGTGCGCCCCATCCAGGGAGCCTCCCCTGGGTAGGAGCAGCTGCCTTGCATGGGCAATTGCGCACGGCCACCACCTCCTATAGGAGGTGGTGGCACGGCCGAATTAGACCCCGGTCGCCGCCCCGTGCCCATGCAATGCAGCTGCTCCTGCAGAGGATCGGGGCCACGGAGCCGTTGGCAAGGAGAGAAGCGTGCAGCAGCCCCGGAACGAGCCGGGGGGCGGGGGAGGTGGGGTGTGCAGGCGCAGGATCCACGGGGAGAAGGGAGGGGGAGGGGTTGCCGAAGCCCGTGCGCGGATCCTGACGTGCACGGTGGGGCTCTTCGCGGGCCCCGAGCTAGCAAAGGGAGAGGGAGGTTTTGCTACTATCTCGGGGAGCAGAAGTGGAAAAGGGGTCGCCTTAAAGACTCGGCAAGCAGAATGTGGGGCTTTTTTGCTGGAATGGCGAACATTTTGGGTAGGGGGCGATGTTCAAACCGACAGGCAGTGGGGTTGGGCCCCCCTGCAAGGTAGGGTTTCCCGGGGGGGGGGGGGGGTAATTTAGCGAAATTCTGATGAAGGGAAATCCAGAGGCGATTAATGTTGCTAGGCTAGCTGTAATACCCAGGGAGTCTCTGTTTTAGCTGTGGAGTCTTGGGAGCAAAAATTCTACTTCCTGAGCTGCTGGCCTTAAAGTTGTGAGCAGGTGATTTGGCTGCTGCATCAATTAGTCTGCTCCAGAGCCCTAAGCGGAGAAAAAAAATGTGTGAGCTGGAGGCTAAAAAACTGTGAGCTGGCTCACACTGACTCAGTTTAGAGGGAACACTGGTTACCACTGATGGTGTCGTGGGAAGTACAGTTTTCAACGCAAGAGGTGTTAAGAGGTGGGTTGCCATCGCCTGCCTCTTCAGGGCTGCGTAGCAATCCTGGACTTCATTGATGGTCTCCCATGCAAGTACCAACTAGGGCTGGGGTGTCGAACTCATTTCTTAGGAGGGCTGGATCTGACATCAATGAGACCTTGTTGGGCTGGGGCACGTGTGCCAAAAAATGTAACGGCCAGGTAGCGGTTTCCCCCCCCTTTAAAATAAAAACATGCTTAAAACATTAGCTCTGCAAGCTGCAAACCTACTTTTGGTTTATTGACATTCATCACAGAAATCTCATGCTCAGAGGTCTGAGTCTAGGACCCAGGGAAAAACATGAAATGGCTGCGTGATTAAGAGAGTCTGGCAAAGCAAGCAATGATGCAGCAGCAGGAGAACCGGAAGCAGGAGATGGCCAGTTCCACTGGGGGCCTGATGGAAGCCCCTACGGGGGTCTGATCCGGCCCCCCCCGGGCCGCATGTTTGACACCCCTGAACTAGGGCCAACCCTGCTTAGTTTCCAAGATCTGGAAAGACTGGTGCAGCCCAGGCCCTCCGGGTCAGAGCAGAGTAGCAGAGGTGGTTGGCCATGGCCTGCCTCCATGCAGTGACCAATGTTCCCTTTAAGCTGTGGCATCCTGTGAGCAAAAATCCTACTTTGTGAGCTACTGGCATTAAAGCCAGCGGTTTGGCTGCTGCAAAAATTAGTCTCCTCTGGAGCCATCCCTTCCTGAGCTGAGCCAAAAATGTGTGCGCCGGAGACTAAAAAACTGTGAGCTGGCTCACACTAACTCAGCTTAGAGGGAACACTGGTAGTGACCCTGGCTGTTGTCAACTGCCCTGGGTCCCCATCAGATGAAAAAGGAGGATAGAAATATTTGTTTCTCATTCATTTGTTTTTGTTAGCCACCTCCCTCTCTTGCTGAACTCATGAGAACATAAGAGATGCCAATGTTGGATCAGGCCAATGGCCCATCCAGTCCGACACTCTGTGTCACACAGTGGCCAAAACCCCGGGGGCTGTCAGGAGGCCCAGTCCTTTAATTCTCTTGGTACCACAAATAGTGTTTTAAGATTAAGGTTATGGGAAGGTCTCTCAACAGCGTTAGTTGTTTACATTGGTTTAATGATAGATGGACTCACGGTGTTACGTTATGATATGTTTTGCCACGTAATAAGGATTGAGCATATTGATTTCACGGTATATATGGAATATCTTTCAATAAACATTTTAATACTAAAAAAAAGAGGGGGGGTACCGATTATGTGTGCCTCAGTCTCACCAAGCATTCTGCAAGGAAGGAGCCAAGAGCTTGGAAGCGAGTTGACGGCACTTTCGGAGAAGGGTCAGTTCCCGGATTTCTTTGGCTTCTAGATGAATAAGTTTGGGGGGAGGGTTTGAACTGATTCACAAAACTGCCAGGGTTGCTCGCGTGATTAAGAGAGTCTGGCAAAGCAAGCAATGATGCAGCAGGTGGTGGTACAGCTAGGTTGAGGGCACAGGCTGGAAGCGGCGTCCCTCCTTTCAAACTGCCTCCAACTGTCTGTAATAATTATTTGCCATGTGCGGCATGAATGACTCCAGACTCTGTGCTTGCTTGAAAAAAATCTCAATATGTTCAGTGGGGCTTAATTATGAGTAACCAGGTTATGGGGAGCCAGTGTAGTATCGTGGTTAGAGTGTCAGACTAGGGTCTGGGAGACCCAGGTTCGAATCCCTATGTTACCACTACAGCTCACTAGGTGGCTTTGGGCCCATCACACGCTCTCGGTCTGTTGTGAGGATAAAATGGAGGAGAGAATCATAGAAAGAGTTGGAAGGGAACTTGCAGGTCATCCAGTCCAGCCCCCTGCACTGTGCCAGGAGCACAGCCGAAAGAGAGCCCTACGACATACCCGGAAGAGGGTCGAGACCTCATTTGGAATACTGTGTGCAGTTCTGGGCACCACACCTTAAAAAGGATATTATAGCTTTGGAAAAAGTGCAGAAAAGGGCAACTTGAATGATAAAAGGGTTGGAACACTTTCCCTATGAGGAAAGGTTAAGGCGCTTAGGGCTCTTTAGCTTGGAGAAAAGACGACTGAGGGGTGACATGATCGAGGTTTATAAGATTATGCATGGGAAAGAGCAGGTAAAGAAAGAGGTACTTTTCTCCCTTTCTCACAATACAAGAACCCGTGGGCACTCCATGAAATTGCTGAGCGGTCGGGTTAGAACGGATAAAAGGAAGTACTTATTCACCCAAAGAGTGATTAACACATGGAATTCACTGCCACAGGAAGTGGTGGGTGCTACAAGCATGGACAGCTTCAAAAGGGAATTAGATAAGCGAGTCTAATTCTGGGTAAAAGCTGAGTGGCCGTGAGTGCCGGTGCCACAGGGAAATGCTGAATAAATCTTTTTATGGATTTAGAAAAATCTTTAATTCTGGGTATAAGTTTCCCTCTGCACACGAAAGCTTATACCAGCAAAAAAGACTTTGTTGGTCTTCCAGGTGCCCCTGGACTCAAACTTTGCTCCGTTGCTTCAGACCAAGCCTGGCCACAGTCCTCCGCCCTCTCGCTTGGGTTTAAGTCCAGTGGAACCGAGTGGGCCCTAACATGCTAGGCACTGCAGAGTTGATGGGAAGTCCATTGCAAGCAAGCATGGATCGGTTGGACTCTACGTGAGAACTGTACCCCCACCCAGCACAGTATTGGCCAGTCACTCATCTTCCGTGGCCACAGAAGAGGACGGGACCTCTCACGCTGTGTCTTCGCAGGGAATGGTGACGTTTGACCACCGGCCTGATTCTCCGGGGAAGTTTGGGGACAGCCACTGGATGAGCGAAGGAAGCCATTCCAGGAAGTGATGACAGAGAACTTGGGGGCGCTCTTTTCTGTGGGTAAATACCCATTTCTTTCCCCCCTAAGTGTGAGTGTTGAGACGGGCTGGTGGACCACACACCTGAGGAATCCCACCTGAGGTGAAGCGGCCTGTGCAGTAGCGGTGGCCAGCGGGGGGGGGGGGCAGCTGCTTCTGTGCATAGAAGGGGGCATGCATTGGCAGGATGGGAAAGGGGGAAGGTTAGGGTTTTCACCACTGGTTCACCCCCAACTGAGAAAGTTCTGGGTTTGAGGGGAAGCTTTTTCCATGGCACAGGGGATTTATCCTCTGATTAAACGTCTGAGATGAACAGGACTGCTGTCAGTTCTAGCCCGCACTGGTGTGAGCTACCAGCCTTGTCCCCAGCTCGCCGTCCACCCAGCGGTTCGAAAGCTTCGGCGAGTAGATAAAATGGGTACCACTCCTTAGAGAGGGTGGGCACACTAAACCCCCCGGTGGGGGAGGTGTTAGCCGACGAACGGAAGGTCCAGCGCGTGAGATCAAAAGCCTAGAGAGATCTATTTGGCATCATGGCCTGTAATGGGCCATTCCGGCCAGACAGTGGCAGTGCTGCGCTGCAACTGAGAAAGCTGACGACATCAAGCCACGCCGAGGGGGAATGCCGTTGGAACACATCTGAAGTGTACAGCTGGACAAACTTCCCGTCGGCTGCGAAATGTGTGTGATTTAAATATATATGTTGTCCTCCCTTACCCCTATCATTGTTAGTCCCTTGTGAATACATGGGTAACTGTAAATTGCTCAGAGCCAGCAGCTCTGCAAGGATTGAGCGATTAATAAATCGAAAGATTATTATTATTATTATTTATGGGGCAGCCTTTTTGCAACTCCGTCTGTATCGAAGAGATGCCCCTCCCAATCTGTGCCCAGGGGAGGCCCTGCAAAGACGATGCCCTGGGCCCCAGGACAGCGGGCCAGCAGGCCTGGTGGTCAGTGGCCACTTGTGGGGAGGGGGCCAGAAGTTTGAGTGAGGGGAGAGGGTTGCCTTCGGCACTCCCAGTGAGGCCTCTCTGATCTTGTCGACCGCTCTTTTCTCCACAGAATATCCTGGCCCCAAACTGGAGATCATCATCAAGGTGGAGGAGGAGGAGGGGCTGTGGGCCTCTGCACCGCCGGACTCTCTAGGGCAAGAGAGCCAGGTGGAGCCCCAACCCGGTGAGTGGCTGGAATTGGGTCTCTCCCTCCCAGTTTGGTGTCGTGGTTAAGTCTGCGGACTCTGATCTGGGAGAACCAGGTTTGATTCCCCACTCCTCCTCCACTTGCATCTGGCCTTGGGCAAGCCGTGGCTCTGATAAGAGCAGTTCTTGAAAAAGAGCCGTTTCCGTCAGAGCTCTCTCAGCCCCACCTACCTCACAGGCTGTCTGTTGTGGGGAGGAGGAGGGAAAGGAGTTTGTGAGCCACTCTGAGACTCCTTTGGGTAGTGACGGGCGGGGGATAAATCCAATCTCTTCTTCTCTTCTTTCCTTCTGAGGCTGGGGGTGGCTCACTGCCTTGGAGCCAAGGTGAGCGAACAGAGGTGGGACGTGTCAGTCCAAGTGGCTGGGTGAATCCAGCTGCCTTCTGGCGTGGGCAGGTTTTATGTATTTGTCCACTGATTTATTTACGTTCTATGTAGTCCGCCTTTCTCTCACTAGGACTCTAGGCAGACTACACAGAATGAGTCAATACAATCAACAGGGTGGGACATTTGGTGAGCGATGCAATAGGATTAGGGCTGCAGCACCAACCAGAAATCTGAAAACAGCACCGAAGCAAAACTGAAATATTAACACAATGATTCAGTGATGCAAAACGACATAGCGGGATCCTCCTTTCAGCAAGTATAGTGAGACAGGTGAATGTTCAAAAAGCAGAATCCACTCCCCCCACCTGCACTTCAAAGCTGTCTTTAGATAGTTGATGAAGAAGAAGAGATTGGATTTATACCCCACCATTCACTACCCAAAGGAGTCTCAGAGTGGCCAACAAACACCTTTCCCTTCCCCTCCCCACAACAGACACCCTGTGAGGTGGGTGGGGCTGAGAGAGCTCTTGACAGAAACTGCTCTTTTTCAAGGACAGCTCTTATCAGAACTACGCCTTTCTCAAGGTCATCCAGCAGGTGCAAGTGGAGGAGTGGGGAATCAAACCTGGTTCTCCCAGGTTAGAGTCCACGCAATTAACCACTACACCAATTTGGTCAACAGTGGGAGGGTGCAAGTGGAGGAGTGGGGAATCAAACCTGGTTCTCCCAGGTTAGAGTCCACGCAATTAACCACTACACCAGTTTGGTCAACAGTGGGAGGGCTTCTAATGTCCTGGCCCCACTGGTGGACCTCCTAATGGCACTGGTATTTCTGGCCCCTGTGTGATACAGAGTGTTGGACTGGATGGGCCTTTGGCCTGATCCAACATTGGCATCTCTTATGTTCTCCCTATGGAACCTTGGGTGATAACCAGTGTTCCTCTAAGCTGAGTTAGTGTGAGCTGGCTCACAGTTTTTAGCCTCCAACTCACACCTTTTTGTCTTAGCTCAAGAAGGAGGGCTCCAGAGCTAACTAATTTATGCAGTAGCCAAATAGCTCGCTCATAACTTTAATGCCGGTAGCTCGCAAAGTAGAATTTTTGCTCACAAGACTCCACAGCTTAGAGGGAGCATTGGTGATAACCATCCTGCTAGCAGATGAGGACCCTGAAACGACTCGCTTGGTGGCAAAATATCTGTCAACAGTGCTATTTTTAAAGCGGCTTTGAAATGCTGTAGGTAGTTTTATGGATACAAATTTTAAAATTCTAAAACTAATTTCCATAATATCATGGGATTTTATAGAGTTTATGAAAGTTTATAAAAGGGTTAGTTTTTATTGTTTATTAGTTTTTATTGTGAAAATGTTTGGTCTAAATTATCTTGTACTTATATGTAATGTGTTTTATAGTAGCTGTTTGTTCGTTTGGCTTAAGACCTCGGGTCAATGAGGCGAATGAATGAGAGGAGTTGTTCCAGGGGGGTTCTTGGACGGACCTGAGGGAGGGTGAGAGGGCAGACGCTTTCTCAGGGCGGTGGTGCTGAGCTCTGCGTCGGAGTGGCACCTGAGGGAATGGATAGGCCCATGCTGTGGGGCACAGGGAGTTCTGTGTCAGGAAATGATCTCTGGTTCTTCCTGCAGGGCGCGTGACCTGGAGCAAGTCTGGGGAGCAGTGCCAAGAGGAAGGTTCCGGAAGCTTGCCCTTGCCCAGTGAGCGGGAGAGCCGGTCGGGGGAGATGGCCCTCGCGGCCCCTGAGCAGCCCGCAGCCCAGGAGCAGCAGCCCATGGCCAAGAGGAACTGGAAGGGACCCCCCTATCCGTGCTCGGGGTGCGAGCAGACCTTCCAGGACAAGAAAGACCTCAAGAAGCACCAGAAGGCCGTCCACATTGGGGAGAAGCCCCACGGATGCACCCAGTGTGGGAAAACTTTCCAGTTCAGGAGTAACCTGATAGTCCACCAGAGGCTCCACACTGGAGAGAAGCCCTATTCCTGCCCGGAGTGCGGGAAGACCTTCCGGTGCAAGAACAAACTGACCATCCACCAGAGAATCCACACAGGGGAAAAGCCCTACCCCTGCCTGGTGTGTGGGAAGACGTTCAGGGGGAGGCACCCGCTGACTATCCACGAGAGGATCCACAGGGGAGAGAAGCCCTATTCCTGCCCGGAGTGCGGGAAGTCCTTTCGGGACACCAAAGGCCTGAGGCTCCACCAGAGAATCCACACAGGGGAGAAGCCCTACCCTTGCCTGGAGTGCGGGAAAAGCTTCCGGTACAGGAACAAATTCAAAACCCACCAGAGAATCCACACCGGAGAGAAGCCCTATCTCTGCCTGGAGTGCGGGAATTCCTTTCGCGACAAGAACCAGCTCATAATCCACGAGAGGCTCCACACCGGGGGGAAGCCCTTCCCCTGCAACGTCTGCGGTAAAGGGTTTAGAGAAAAGAGGACTCTGAAATATCACGAGAGGATCCACATGGGGGAGAAGCCCTTCACCTGCCAAGAGTGCGGGAAGGCCTTCAAGTTCAAGAACAAACTGACAGCCCACCAGAGAATCCACACCGGAGACAAACCCTATCACTGCCAAGACTGTGGGAAGTCCTTCCGGGACAAGCGGGACCTCCGAGTCCACCAGAGAATCCACACGGGCGAGAAGCCCTTTTCCTGCAAAGAGTGTGACAACTCCTTCCGGTACCGGAACCAGCTGATAGCCCACGAGAAAATCCACGCAGCAGAGAAGGATGGCACCGAGATTCTGAGAATTACAGTCCTGGAGAATCATGGCGATCCGATCCGTGGGGAACCCACCCAGAAGAGAAGCCTCAGCCCTGCGGAGGACCTTGAGGAGTCTGTAGAGATGGTGACGATGTCAGAGAATCACAGAGAAGTTGTCGTCGGAGAATCTAAGCCAGAGACAAACTTCCCACCTAATGCGGGGAAAGTTTTAGAGGTGGAAGAGGTTCCAGAGAGTTACGGGGGACAAGTCTCCGAAGAACCGAAGCCAGAAACAAAGAGCATCATTGCTGTGACTGTGGGGGGGTCTACGTGGGAGGGAGCCCCGGTTTTTGTCAAGAGTGAGAATACTTCAGACTAGTCAGAGAGGCCACTAGAGAGTCCAGAGTCCCTACATCAGGGGTCCCCAACATGGCATCTGTGGTTGCCACGGCACCCGCCAAGTGCTTTCAGGATGTGGGCGGGGCCAGCTAGGGCTTTTCCCAGCAAGGCTTCTGATTGGCCTATGGAGATTTGATTGGCAGATTTTTAAAAACATTGCTTTGGCAGTAGCTGCCACCACAACAAAAAGATCTTCACTGGGTGCAGTCAGACGGCGTGCCGAAGCGGTTTAAACTGCTCCGGTTCCAATCGGATTATATTTGATCCGGGACAAGCGCGATCACACTTACCTCCCTCACCACGCAGCACATAATGTGTGCACGCAACAGCGCGCGTCGGCGTTTCCCCCCCACACTGTTTGCGCATGCGCATGGGCACCCATCCATATAATTAGAATCTTCACACCAAAAGTATGCCCTGAAGCGAACACTTCCCTTTACACTTTTACAACGAAACTGGCCTCCGTGAGGTCCCGGACTCGTCTAAAGCCTAAAACTAAGCACCACTTTTTAAATACGTTTTATTAACGCCGGGGCAAAGCTTTGCCCAAGCGCATATCGCCGATGCTAAAATAAAATGGCGGACGAAAAGCAGAAGCCCTGGGCTTCCGAGCAGAAGTGGCTCTACGCTGGCAGAGGCGTGATCAGACGTCAGGAAAATGCGGCTAGAACTAAGCCCCGGGCTTCCGAGCGGAAGTGGCTCTACGCCAGCGGAGGCGCGATCACATGTCAGAAAAATCCGGCTAGAACCAGATCACCAGAAAAACACCACTTGGGGACCTGGTAGCAAAATACTCCAGTTTAAAGGGGGTTTGAACCGATTGGCAACGGCTAGGGACGGGAGGCAGACGTTGGCTCTGCGATCGCGTGTAAATAGTCCGTTTCTAACGGGCACATATACTGGCTCAAATGGCCCGTCTGAACGCGCCCATTGTGTGACTGAAAGTAAGCTGTGGTAGCCCTTTTGTGGTTGGCTCCGCCTCCCATGGCAGCCATGTTGTGGCTGCTGCTACCATGTTGAGCCAGAATTCCAGCAGTGCCCGCAGGCTCAAAAAAGCTGGGGAATCCCTGCCCTACAAACTGACAAAAGTTGTAGGGGAAATTTCAGAGTTGAGCAGGGTTTTAGAAACCCCCCCCCCCCCCGAGAATCTTCTCCGGAAAGACAGAAAGCCCTACAGAGGACCCAAGAGTTTGTGCAGCAGCAGACCTCTCTGCATCTGCCTTCAAACTCCTGGATGTGGGGAGGCAGAGGGCAGGCCACTGCGGAGGGCCACGCCTGTCCGCTTGTCCCGACCCTCTTGGGCACTGCTCTTCCAGCAGAGCGTGGGGCCTGGTCCAGCAAGGTGTGAGAACGCAGGCTCAGGTTCACTAGGCACAGGTTGTTTCCTGCCTTAATGGCAGAGATGTCCCGAGAAGGCATTCTGGCTTGGGAAATCCAAAACACACGGGGGGGCTACAGGGACTCAGCCCACCCGGCCTCAAAGAGCGACCAGGAGAAGCCCTGTGGGGTGTTGGATGCGTTCACTGCTGGATCAGGTGGCACAAGGCTTGGAGCGCCAGCAGGACGGCGTGGGCAGAGGGTCAGACTCAGGACAGGTCAGATCCCCGGTCTGGGATAAAAACTTGCTTGGGCCAGTGACACAATCTCAGCTTAACCTACCTCGCACGGTTGTTGTAAGGGTAAAATGGAGGGATGGCGTAAACAGATTAGGGTCGTCCCCGTTGAAAGGCAGAGTCTACACAGAGTCAAGAAAGAAGAGAAGGCTCTGCGTGGGAGAGGGGGCCTGTCCTTGCACCTCCTCCTCCTTGCTCCTTCGGTGCCTCCATACCCAGTTTGGAGGCCTTCTGCGGGGTGTGTGTGTATTTGTCTGGCTGGGCCCTCTGGGACAGGGGATGCTGGCCTACAGAACCCCACCTTGGTCTCCACCCTCCAGAACTCCTCTCTGTATCCTAAGCCAGCAGTCAACCCAAATTTTGTCCCCAGTAAGTGATGAAGAAGACGAGATTGGATTTATATGCCGCCGTTCACTACCCAAGGGAGTCAGAGCGGCTTACAAACTCCTTTCCCTTTCCCCTCCCCACAACAGACGAGCTCTGGCAGAAACGGCTCTTTTTCAAGGACAGCTATCAGAATCCAGCCAGGTGCAAGTGGTGGAGGAGTGGGGGAATCAAACCCGGTTCTCCCAGATTAGAGTCCGCGCATTTAACCACCACACCAGACTGGCTCTCCTTTCCCTTCCCCTCCCCACAACAGACACCCTGTGAGACGGGTGGGGCCGAGAGAGTTCTTGACAGAAATGGCTCTTTTTCAAGGACAGCTCTTATCAGAACTACGGCTTGCCCAAGGTCATCCAGCCAGGTGCAAGTGGAGGAGGAGTGGGGGAATCACAGCCGGTTCTCCCAGATTAGAAGAAGAGGAGGTTGGATTTATACCCCATGGCCCTTCACTACCTGAAGGTGTCTCAGAGCGGCTGACAAACTCTTCTTCCTTTCCCCTCCCCAAAACAGACACCTGGTGAGGTGGGTGGGGCCGAGAGAGCTCTGACAGAAACGGCTCTTTTCCAAGAACAGCTCTTGTCAGAACTACGGCTTGCCCAAGGTCATCCAGCCAGGTGCAAGTGGAGGAGGAGTGGGGAATCAAACCCGGTTCTCCCAGACTAGAGTCCACACTCTTAACCACGACACCAAACTGGCTCCCACCTCAACAGTGCATGACCACAATATTGTGGAGGAGGCCAAATTACAGTTTCTGACTAAGGGGTAAGGCAGAAAAGAGCGTGCAGGAGGAGTTCAGAGTGGGTTAGTGTCTCAGCCTGCCGTGCACCGCCCGTATCTAAACCCAGCCCCCGCGTCCCTGGGAATGGCATTTAAGACCTTGCTGGGCCCTCCGGACTGGTCAGGCGCCTGGCCCAGCCCTCAGATGCACCCAGATTCTAAGGAGATGCGATGCAGCTGTAGCTCTCCTCCTTCTGTTCCTGTGCTGCTGATGGACGGACGGAGGCCTGTCTTTTCCCCTTTGGCTTTTCATTTGCCCTCCGGGGGCTTCCTGCTGCCGTATTGCCCCGAGGCCTTCCGGTGGATTCTGAGTGGTGCCCGTTTACTTCGGAATGATGGCATCGTTCTTGAGCACTTGGCTTCCGGAGTGCTTTCTGTCGAACTCGTCTGCATAGCTTGGGACCCATGCTCCCTCTAAGCTGTGGAGTCTTGTGAGCAAAGATTCTACTTTGTGAGCTGCTGGCATTAAAGCTGTGAGCAAGCGATTTGGCCGCTGCATCAATTCGTTTGCTCTGGAGCCCCATCCTGCCTGAGCCAAGACAAAAATGTGTGAGCCGGAGGCTAAAAAACGGTCAGCTAGCTCACACTAACTCAGCTTAGAGGGAACAGTGCTTGAGCCGAATGCAGCCTCAGTCCCCAGCCGAGTGCTTGATTGTCTCCATTCTGTAGTCCTCAGCAGTGGTTTATCCTACCGGTCCATCGTGCTGCATTCAGCTTGGTGGATTTCTCCCCCCTTTCCCTTTTTCCAATTTGGGAACAGCTGTATTGACCTACCTTACAGGGCTGTTGTAAAGGTTTCCTGGAAAATCGTGCTTCAAACACTTAAAAGTGTTATTTGAGTGCTAACCGTTATTGTTGTACTCTGCAAATACTCCTTTGTCTGCTGAATATCAGGGCTCAGTCCCTGGAATATCTGATGTAGAGTAGTGACAGAGAGGGGTGCCTCTGGTCAGGTGCAGAGTATATTTTACTGTCCAGGGGGCTGGGCCTTCCAGATAGTCATGTGGCTTCCAGGCAACCTGGAGGGGCAAGCAGATAACCCCGAAAGCAAAGCAACGAGCTGACCAATAGAACATGGATCCCGTTCCAAAATGGCTCCCAATCCCTTTCCGCCATTGGAAGTCCCTTGTGGTTCTGGAAGATGCTTCGGTTCTGATTTTGCCCAGGCTCCACCATGAGGGGTAATACTGCTGTGGGCCCTTCTACTGGTTTTGGACATCCTACAAGGATATCGCAGAGGAGGTCCTTTGTTCTGGACGCTGGATGCCGGAGCGCAAGGGGGCACGCTTTCAGAACCCTGCATCTGAATATCAGCGACAACCGAGCTTCTTTAACTGAACGATAAAATTAGTGGCCCCTCCTAACGGCTCCCCCCCCCCCCCCCCCCCAGCCCTTGTAGAGATTTTGTTCCAAGTTGTCTGAAGAAGCGTGCTTGGTACACAAAACCTTACACTTTGAATAAAACTTTTTTTGGCCTTAAAGGGGCCCGACTGGACTCTGACTTTATTCTGCTGCTTTGGACCAACATGGCTGCCCCACCTGAATTTAACTGAACGATGTACGTGATTTGTCGGGTAAAGGGAAAGAACGTAAATATGACATTCAATGGATTTTCATGTACCCTCGGTGTCAAATCTGTACAGTCCTTTTGGAAAGGTGGGTCTTTCCAAAATTGTGTGCTGTGTATTTTAGTAAATATTGCCCTTGTCTCCCCCCCCTGCCCTTGCAGTCCATGTTTATTTAAAAACATTTATTATTTTAAACATTTATTAGGAGAAGAAGAGGAGATTGGATTTATACCCCCTGCCCTTCACTACCCGAAGGAGTCTCAGAGCGGCTTACAAACTCCTTTCCCTTCCTCTTCCCACAACAGACACCCTGTGAGGCAGGTGGGGCCGAGAGAGCTCTGACAGAAACTGCTCTTTTTCAAGGACAGATGTGCCAGAGCTTGTGACTGACCCAAGGTCATCCAGCAGCTGCAAGTGGAGGAGTGGGGAATCAAACCCGGTTCTCCCAGATTAGAGTCTGCGCTCCTAACCACTACACCAAACTGGCTCTCTTTTAGCCGTCTTTTTCTTACAGAGGTCCAGACAGCTTACAATATAAATAAAATACATAAAGTACATAAAAACACATAAAACCAATTGTTTAAAAAAAGCCCCACAAAACTTAGGACTGCTTTAGCCAAAAAATTTTTGAATTGAGT